CCCCTGCAGTGAGGGACAGTGTTGCAGAGGCAGGAGCAGGGGTAAGTTGAGTAGGGCCCTGGCCAGGTGAGACTTACCTGCTGGGGAGGCACGCCCCCAAATAATTTTTTCTCAATCTGTCCCCCCTTCCCTCCCCACAGACTTACCAGCTGGGCGAGGGGAGTGGGAGGTAGGGAGGGTGGCAGCAGCGTATGGTAGATCTTGGTTGCTGTTAAATGCCAAAGGTCATCTCCTACTTAAAAAGGTTGGAGACCACTAATCTACCTTGTATTTTGGTGCCTCCATGTTTTAGTTGTCGACTCTGATATGTACTGATTGCCTGCAGCCATGGGCAACTAGTGCCTCCTGAGTTGGGGGGGCACTTGCCGCCCCCCCCCCCGGGCCAGTCAGTGACTGGGGGAAGGTTCCCCCTGTGGTCAATTGTGCCCACTGGGGGGGAGAAGTTCCCCTGCAGCCATTCATGCTGGCACTTCCTGGCACACCACTGGCACTTCCTGATCAGTGCAATCAGCCATGGGGATACACCCCCCCTCCCCCCGGTCAGCACGACTGGCTGCAGGGGGACCGCAGAGATCACTTTTCCTGGCGTCCCCACTCCTCAGCTAGCATTCTCAGGGGGTGAGTGCTCTCACCTGCCCCCCGTGCCCATCACCTAAGTGGGGAACACTGGCTGTGAGGGTTTGCACCAGTGCTCTCAGCGGATGCACATGCACCCCCATACACCCCCTATGCATCACCACTGCCTTCAACTTCCATGAACTTCCAGATACAGTAGTGAGCACTCAGGGCCTTTGAAGTCCAAATCTAAGGCATCCTGAGTTGGGCACAAAAGGTTAGAGCTCACTTTTTAAATTTTCACTTTTTTGTGTCTCACCTTTCCAGTTACAAAGTGAGGATATCATTACTCACCCACCTTCAAAAGTTTTCGGATTTTCAAAGTTTGTTGACATGAGATTAGAAATGTTGCATCAATGCAGAGGAAGGATAGTTCAATGTTTAAAACACTACCTTAAGATCTGGGAGACATGGATTCAAGTCCTTTTACTACGTTGCATGTGTGACCCTAGACTAGTGCCAAATTCAAAGAATAGCTTAGGCACAATCTAAATCTTAAGATTTCCTAAATAAGTCCCAAAAATTAGCATCTCCCTGTGCTTCTTCACTTTATCCCTCTTTTACAGATAGAGAATAGCACTTCTCACCTATATGGGGGTATTGTGAAGAATGACACATTAGAGATGGCGAAGCACCAAGATACTACAATGATGTGGACTGTATAAATACCTTGAATGCACAGATATTAGAACACACAGACTGCTGATATTCCTTTTGTACTTTGTGACAACAGTGATTCTTACTTCATCAATGGCAGACAGCAGCATAACAATGTGGTTGGATGCCCAGGGTGGCTACCACACACAGTTGCTGCTGCTGCCATGATCGTGACTGCATGGCTCTGACAAAAGGTGTTTTTTTCACCCCCGCTTCCATCAGTGGTGGCCCTTGTTGCCTCACCCTACTTATGTTACTGATATCAGAAGATGATAATTAAGGTAAGATGGCTGACTTGTCACTGAGACATTTCTAGCTGCCAGTTATGGGTTGTACTGGGGTCACAGGTACTTCTGCTGTACTTTTGCTGCTGCCTACATATTGCCTCTGAATTAGTTTGCAAATTATGTTTAAAAACCTTAAGGAAGCACTACATATTTCAGATAAGTGCCACTCCTGATGTCAGTATCTTTTTCACCGTTGTTTACAATGCTATCAAGGCAGTTCAGAGAGGATGCAGTCTAACAAAAAGTCTGTATAAAAGGAATAATGCTATATGAAAGAGAACAACAAACCACTGAGGAAACAAAAACAAAAGCAATTAAAACTTCAGCACTAAAACACATTAAACATGAAGGAAATACTAACAATAGGCATCTGTGTCCCCTTGGATACAAAAAACCCCGAACAAAACCAGAAAACTCACCAATATTATCTCAGCCTAAGCATTTTTGCAGAAGTAGAACTAGAAATATCCAAGTTTATTTAAAAAGTAGGAGCAGTAAGACTCATATAGAAACAACAAAGACCCTGAACCTGAAAGAAATAACTGACAGCAGTAGGAGTAACAGGGTCCCTGCATAATACAAATGTAATATTATCATCAGCAAACATGAAGACAAAAAATCAGCAGATAGGCCTAGGAGAGATGTCCTCATTCACTGAGTCCAGTCTTCCACTTTCACAGGAAACCATGGGAACTAATTTTGTTCATAACTTTATTAGGCTCCATTTTACAACTAGCTAAGATTTTTTTTGCTCCAAATGCTCCTCCTAATCAAAGGATATTCCAAAATTTCATTTCTCTGATGGTTAGAAATAGTCTTTTATTTTCCAGGCTAAGTATATTAACAGTTCATTTAAACCCAATACTAAATATAAATACTACCAAAACATGGGGGATATTGAAATTCACTGTTTACAATAGAAAAATCCGCAGCCTAAATAAAAAAGAATCTATACATTTTCTTTTTAAACACATAAAAAGGTTTTATTACGCATTACACTTAGCACATTACATTTAAATTGTAGTATGCATTAATACAACTTAGAAAGTTTTCTAAGCAGTTGCACATTAATGATTACTATGATCTAAATATAGTTTGTAGTACTGCACCGGAGTCTTGAACTGGCTCTGGTACAACCCCAGTGTCAGCCCTGGTACCACGCTGGAGCTGGTTGGAGGCTCTGTGGATTGTGGATCCCAGCTCTGGGACCACAATTGATCATATTATCTCTGTGGAGTAGTCCTAGGTAATGCAGAATGTGTTATTCAATACGATTGGGAGATACTCCTCACACAAAAAGGCATAACTTTGCTACCATACAAGAGCAGTTAGCATATGTAATCCTGCTTGAACATTTGGACACTACCGTTTTAAGTGCAACTAACACATGCTAAACATAATTTCTAACAAGTCCCCAAGAAACGTAACATCATCCCCAGAGTAGTCACCTTTTGGAACCCTCTGGCTAATGCACACAACTCCAAATAGGCAACACACCTATGCAGGAGAACATCAGAGAAAACTGAGCAACCATCTTATTCACTTAACCTACTCCAACACAGGAGAGAGCTAAGATGGCAGCACCCAAAACACCAACATCATTAATTTATCACAACGTATCTTATCCCCCTCTGAAATAAGCATACTTTCCAAAGGCCTGAAATTCTTCCCAGAGAAACAACCTGGCAAGACTCTAACATGGGTGGATCCTGGATTTATTAAAGGGGGTTGAGGCACACCAGGACTCAGACCAGGGGAAGTATGGGGATGAGGCATGGGAGAAGATCTGGTGGTTCCCTGGGGTAGTGATTCCTATAAATACAATGCAATCCTAAAGCTGTAGCCACCCAAATGAACAGAGCCAGACTCAGACCCCACTCCAATCTGCTACAATTCCAAACCTGAGACAAGGACAATAAAATCCCTCTGCTCATCACCAACACCCCTCAGCCCATGGGCCAGATTTTGCCCATGGCACCATGTCATCTGGCTTGCAGGGCTCCCCACTGATCTGGAAAATTGGTGGCAGGAAAGAGGTGGCACCACTCTCTTACTGCCAGATTTCCAGACCCACAGGAAGTCTGTGTGCTGGATTGGGCACCTGATCCCAGTGTGCATGGTTGGACAGGCATGGCACTGGGGCATTGGGCCTAATCCCAGCATGAGAGGACAAGACAGGGTGGTGCCAGGCGCCCAGGGCTCAATCCCAGCATGGAGGGCAGGGAGGGGAAAGTGCCTATCCCCTGGGGCCCAATCTCAGAACACAGGCTCAGAAGGGGTTGGCACCAGGCCTCCAGAGCCCAATCCTGGCAGGAGGGGGAAATGCTGGGTCCTCAGTACCCAGTCCTGGTGCACAAGGCTCCATCTGACCCACAGACTGACTCCTCACAACTCATTTGGCCCATGGGGCCAAAAGGTTGAGCACCACTGCCTTAGACGCATCATTAATGGCCTCCAATCCCTCTAGAAAAATGATGACCACCTCAAGGCAGCCATGGGGGGCAAACCTGTCCTGGCTTACAGGCATTTCCCCAACCTCAGATGGTGTCTCTCCAGTAACAGACTACTTAACTACTAATCTCACCAAGGTATGAGACCTTGGTCTGGGCCCAGATGTTAGCTGTGTCTCCTCATCAACACAGGCCACGTCATCACTGGGCCAAATCACATGAATTATAGCATCACCTACACCTGTACCAATGTCATATATGCCATCACCTGCTTATGGTGTCCCCTCTCCTGTACACTTTGGACATATTGGGCAATCTCTACATGTAAGATTGAATCAACATTGATCTGATATCAATTCCAGGCATACGCATAAGGCCCTTGCACAGTCCATCACTGACCTCAGAGTGGCTGTTCTTAGAATACAAAAACTTTAAAAATGAATTTGAACAGGGAATTACGGAACAAAAAAAATCACAACAGGGTAGATTGTATTAAGTATGATTTAAACCAAGACTATGGCTTGCTATCCCATTACCTGGATTAGCTTTTTAACCCCCATGCCCCTCAATGGATTAACTGCTTTATTTTTCTCTTTCCTACCCACCTTGCCTCTCTCAGCAGTGCCCTCTCCTTTTTCCTCCCCCCTTCCCATCCCTTTGTATTTTAATTACTGCTTTCTATTTAGAAGCTTTTCTTCCTGCAGTCCCTTTCCAGGATCTGAGGAAGTAAACCTGCTGCTTAGTAAAGTTTATGCTATGCATCTCCGATTTAGTTAGTCTATAAAGTGCAAATCTCCCCTGTCTTCTGCTTGACTACTGATTAACACAGCTAACTATCTGTCCCTAATATGGCTCAGCCTGACCTGTATGAATGTGTTCTAACTGCCTTCCTTGAGCATACTTCTTTGAATGCTTTATTTAATGATTTAACCAAGGGCAAACATTGAAGGCTGGGTTGAACTTTGTAATAACATCTTTGAGTGACAATTGCGAGTTCTGTGTCTTCTTGACAATTGCTCCTAATACTACAGGGAGGGCAAAAAACATTTTCATGTACATAAGAACTGAGATTACCATTGACCTCCTTCTGTTTGATGCTCATGGTGGAGTTAGGGAAGAATTTAGAGATGTTGAGAGTCTGCAACCCATCATAGCTTGAAAGCAAGACAATGAAAAGTTGAAAAAATACTGACAGTGGGGTCTGGTGAGCAAAATTCTCCTAATTTTTTAAGAGCCGTCAGAGTTTCCTTTGGCAATAGGTCTCTTGCTGCTCTTTATGTGAATGTAATTAGCCTGATGTTTATTGATTTCTTAAACTAAATTTCTAATTATTTGGTTAGAGGTGAAGATAAAGTTCTTTTACAATGCCTCTCATTGAATGACTTGCTGTTTCTTGCTTCATTATTGAATCTCTGTGAGTAGATAGAGTGCATTGTTTCTTTGGAAATCCTTTACAAAAGGATTCACGGCCACATCTGTGACAACGGATAAACATAAGCAAGAGTTGAGGCTGTGGAGAAAGACAAAGCAGAACAACAGATCCTCAAGGACATTACATGAAACCATCCCTTCATTGCACTGTCCATATGGAAATCTTATACTGGTGTATATTTTACATTGTTGAAAGACTTCCATTAATGCTAATGGGTTTTAAGTGTACTTTCGGAAAGATGTACCATAGCTAAAAGAGGTGGCTTATTTTTAGAGCAAAATTGTTGAGCATTATGTTATTTATCTCTTTCAACAACATTAAAGGACCCTCTCCCCCCACCCTCCACCTCCCTGTGTCACCCCCGCTGTGTAGAGGGACCATCAGTAGCCTCCCAAGGGCTGAGGGAGAATTACATGGTGTAAGAATGTTGTATGCAGCCCTAGAGTGTTTGTCCCATCAGCCCATGGCACAGAGGTCA